CGAGGGGTCAGCCGCAGCCGCATCCGCATCAGCATTCGCATCCATTCGAATGGTCAATTGAAACGGAGTCCCAGGACTCATGCCAAATGCGATCCTCGAACGCCATTTCTCAACATGCAAAACAATGAAACACAAAATCCTTTTTTACAGTTGTGCTGTGTGTGCGAATCGAAATCGTTACAATTTAGAGCGTTTCTGTTTGTGTAGCAATAAATTTGAAAATTGCAGCCCCTGCCCGGGCCCTGACCCTGGCCACCCCTATACAGCGAGGCCAGCCGGGGCAGCCTGGCAGCCTTCTTGAAGCTGCGTCTTATGCGTGACCCCGAATATTCACGCAATTTTTGTGACACATTCACAATTTTCGCATTAATTTTAACCTCGGCTGGACGTTGACAAGGGGTCAATTTTCCAACCAATAGCCGTTGCCCAACCCCTGGCACCGGGCGCTCTTTCTGCTCAATCCGCATTTGGCTCTGTGTTGGCGTTGCCGCACCGCAGGGGTCACGAAAGTGTGAAAATGTGTAACTGCCCGGCCGAACTGATTAGATGGTCCGCATTTGAGGACATTCGGGGTGAGATTCGGCACATTTTGGCGCTTATTTCAAATTGGCAATTGTTTAAGCTTGGGATTTGGCACAACAGACTCAAATTCGAGTCCATATTCAGTCTTCAATTGTGTTGGCCATTGTTGAAATGCATTTCGATGCTAATGCGGCGACAACGACATTGAAGGCGACTTAGTGGTATTCATTGCAGACGCATTACAAATGTTACCCAATGGTCAGTCGACGGCACTGAAGTAACATGATTTGTGATATCACTTCGATAATGTAACGGTCGTATATGAGCGTTACAAGATTTTCAGATTTCCATCTAACATTTAATTTTATATGACTTTACTTATATGCTATAAATTATCAAAAATTGAGACTTTTTAAATTCGTTTTATATTCTATTTTTTATTAAGCTGTTACATGGTAAATATTGCAAAATCTGCAGAATAAGTTTTACTCTTTTATTATATAAGGCTTAAAAAATTAAAAAAAAGAAAAAGTCCTTCTCACTCAATAATAATCAAACCATTTCCAGGCAGCCAGTGTCTAAGTTTTATGCTATTATTCTAATGCAACGTTTATCTGTCTATCCAAAAGCTCATAAATATTAGGAATAGTCCGCATAATTATATAATATATAATATTTATACATATACATATATATATATATATCATTTGTTATCAGCAAATTGATATAACGTAAAAGACTTTTTTTAATATCTTCATATTAAAATATGAAAAATAAATATAAAATACATTTTGAATCTTTTGCAAATAAATATTTTGTATATCAAAATTTTTAAATATTAGAAAATAGTTTTTTTACTTTTTTATAGCTTAGTGAAAAAATTTGCTTTGGGAAACGATTTGTTGCTTTCTCAATCGTAAATGCAGAGCAGTTTTACGGCGATTATAAAATGAAATCCATCGAACTTAACCCTTTGGCATGGCTAATGAACAGATTCTGAATTCTTGGAAATGGACAACATTCGAAAGCGCTCATAAAAAATGCACAGACAGCATTTAACCCGTCCGGATAGACAGGCCAAGAACTTTCGCCAAAGGGTTAAGGAAGTACGAGCACTACGCCGTGCAAGGTGAGGAACAATGGGTGTCATAAAAAAAACAACCGATGCATCATAAAGAACACAAAGCGAGCGACATTAGCTGGAAACAAAAAAACACTCACACACACACGCAGAAGGATACACAGCGTAGGCAGTTTTCGCAGGAATTTGGCAAGGACACCGAGAGAAGGAGAAGGCAACATATTGGGAAGATATTTTTTGTTAATGGTGAAAGGGTTAAGATACAAAAAACAGCAGCCGCATCCGTAAATAGCCAGAGTCCTGGGATCAATCTCGCTACCTGTTTTGTCCAAGCCATAAAAAACTAAATGTTTTATGGTCTTTGCACAGCTCTAAAAAACGACATTACGCGGAAGTGAGTTCTGGGCCTCTTCTGGCTGTCTCTCTCTCTCGCAGTCGCCGTTGTCATCGAGTCCTTGGACAATCATAACTAGAGCAGTCTAATGAGCATTCAGTGCAGTAGATGCTCGAGTTGTACTTATTTTGAGGCGTCAACGTCTGCTCGGAGGAGAGGAACTTTCTCGTGATTTTCCAGTGAGTTTCATTGTTAAGCCATTGCCGAAGCTGATTACCTGGTACCGGTGCATGGCTGCATGCAAAATATGTGAGAGCATCTAGCTTCAGAGTTGTGGGAGTCATAAACACAGCACGGACCCGGCCACCAAGCCACCGAAGCGGGCAATTGTCCTGCACCAATGCGCGTTGTCCTTCACGCTTTTGTTGCTTTTCAGCTACTTTTACTGCGTAACCATTAGGACAAACAATCGAAATTAGAGCAACTATTTCGCCATGCCCATGTTTTTCTATCTGTTTCTGTGTCTGTTTCTGCTTGTGTTGTCGGGTTTGTTTCAGTCTGGGTCGCTGTTGCTCTAGTTTCCTTTTTTAATCCTTCGGTTTTTCATGCTAAAAAAGGATTTACGGATGTGTCGTGCCCGCTGTTTAGCATAATATTTCTGCGAAACTATCTGCGCACCTCTTACCCGAGTGGGCGTGTCTCTGGCGAGAACTTTGTCATTTGATTTATATTCAGACATTTACATTGTGATTCCATGACTTAATAGCAATCTTTTAAAAATATTTCAATTTATGCAAAGAATAATTTTATTGATTTTTACAGAAATATAGGTTGAAGTTTATTTGTTATAAATTAGCTAATCAAATGCTATACTTATAATAATAATAATTATAATACTCTAAATAATTCAATCAAGATTTCTTATATATTGTCTACATATCCCTCACTTTCCAGACATCGCATCTCAATTAGGCTGCACAGTAGCATTTGAACAAAAAATTACAAAACTGGAAAACTAATTATGATCAAAAGAAAACCACATACAGGCAGACAAAACGAAAGAAGGAAAAAAACTAAAAGAAAATGCCACATCATCCGTGGCATGAAATCAGCTTAAAAACTCAAGGAAATATCAAGAGGTCAGAGGAAAAGTGCGCCAAATGCAAACAAAACTAATGAGGTCTGAACTAAGCGGTTTGGGGTGTGGATATACGGTCATGGGCACATCAATTGAAATTCAGCCAACCACAAGATTCGCATTTGCATATGAGATCTTGATCTCGAGCCACCACCATTACCACAGCGGAACAAAGCATGGCTAAAGACGCTTAGATCTGAAGGATGTCTGTTGACATTGACTGAACAAAGGCTGATGCAAAGCCAGCGTATCATTTTCATAGAGCACTTGAACTTTGGGCTCTGGGCCAATTGGATGACAGTTATTATCACGAACGTCAATTAAAAGGTCAAGCGTGTCGCTGCTGAACATGTGCGAACTTGCAGGCTATGGACTAAGGATGAGGAGTGCGGCTGTGTGGCTTAAGGAACATTTGTTTTGGCTTTGCGACAACTTTACATAACTTGCTCAGCGGATCAGCGGCTCCACACCCGTCCGCGCCTGCCTTAAGCAGCGCTAATCACATGATCAACACTAGGATCAGGATCAAAGGCGCTGATCCTGATCCTGCAACACGCTGCGTAATGTTGGATTATGCAGTCGCCCACTGCAACTTTTAAATCACTTTTAAATCTAGGCTCTGCACACACTGCTGTCGCTGCTCTAGTTTCCTGGCAGCCGCGGTTTGTTCGCGAATGCGGGATTAATGAACGCAGCGGCAAGTCCTTACACATATCCCAGGTAGCTGTACCTTTAATCCTTTCTTTAGCGCTCGCAAATCCGTGTGCAAAGTCCGGTTACACTTCTAATCCGGTTGACAGCGTCAATGATGCGCGCCTGCCTGCAATGCTCCTGCTTCTGGTCGAGCTACCTGTTCAGCCACCTCAGCGCAGCCAGCGTCCTGCCATGTACTGTTCGTGTGCTATGCATGTGTATTTGCATACTGTCCGAGTTTTGTTTGCGTTCTGGACCATCGTTTGTTTTGTAAATATTCTCAACAAATTGCAAATGTTCTTTACTACGTTCATGCACATTAAACTGGTGTTAAAATAGTTAAACATTCCGAAAACGCGATTGAAATGGGTAAATAGAAACTCGTTTTATTTAAAAAATTAAGCTCGCATATCGTTTTTCAATTTCAAATTAGTTTTCTTTGCACTGCAAGTCAAATTAAATAGCTTTGCTTTAAAAGATAACAAAATTCAAGACCTTTAAATTGTTGTCTCAGCCTCAATGGTGCACAAATCTCAAAGTGCGGAAACATGACCTTCGAAAGCGAAAGTACAACACTTGATGCGTCGCATCAACGAGCTCTGTAACATGCTTTATTATTGCTTTCATGCTACTTGATATCAACGTTGTTCTGGGGGCGCCCACGCCTTCATGCTCATAGGATGCAAGCTCCATGGAGCAGCGGTCAAAGGCCGACGAAAAAGACCAAAAATCAATAATCAATGGTGAAGCGAGTTTTGGCAAAAATAAACGACAGCTGCAAATGCAGTGCGTATCCAAAGGATGCATATTAGACGCGTGCATCAGGACGAAGAGAGTTCACTCGATGAAGAAACAAGAGGAGAGAGGGACAGCGCGAGAGGGAGGATGAGAGAGAAACAGAGACAGAGAGAGAAAGAGAGAACTTGGGGAGGCAGCGACCAGTCAATGCACGCCGATTATAGGGATGGGGCTGATAACACTCACAGCTATTGAGTCTGTTACAGCCAGCAGCCGTTGCGAGCGCTTTGCTTTTGCTGTTGTAACTGAGCGAAATGAGCATATTCCGCTCTCTGGCTCTCAGCTCGAGCGCTGTGCGTGCGTTTGTGTGACTGTGTTTGTGTTTGTGAATGAGTGTTTTGTGTGTTTTTGGTTTTGTTCATGCATTTTTGACATTTGTTTCTTTGCATTTGAGTTGATTTTGGACCAGAGCTCTGCACTATGCGGAGATTTTCAGCTATGACTAGTGCTAGTTGAGCAGGAATTCGTGTCAGTCGTGCTCAGTGCCTCGCATAAGTCGAACGTCGCTCTGGAGCAGCCATCAGCAATCTCAAAAAGGACGACGAGTGTCTCAACTAAAACGAAAGCGAAACAAAAAACACAGTAGCTCTAAAAAAAAGCAAAAAACTATAAAAAAACTACGTAACAAGCCAACTGCCAGTGATTGTGTTAAATCGTGCCAAAAATATTAAACATTAGTAAACAATTTACAAATTATTGGCCAGCCTTCAATAGAGTTTTTTTTCGCACATGCGCGAACTTCGCACAAAAAAGCTAAAAAGCAAAGAACAAAAAAAAGAGATAAAAACGGCCAAAAAGGAGCAGCCACCACACACCAACACTCCCACGGCTGCTTGTGAGCGTCTGTGTATATGTGTGAGTGTGCGCCTGTGTGCTGTGCGCGGTTTTTGTTTCGCACGCACTTTTATCGTCGTTTTGTTTAATTTAACGGTGCCGCGGTCAAGTGTAGAGAGCGCGAGAGCTTCCACGCCAGTACAAGGTGCCGCTCCTGTTCCCGATTCCCGTTTCGCACCAAAACTTATTGAGATTTGCTCATAGTCGCCCAAGGTATGTAAATATCACTTTCCACTATTATTATTATTGCTCATTTAACCTTCAAACATTTGCGTGCTCCCTACACGGCACATAAATCAAAAGTAATCGTAGAGGTTTACAGTTACAAAGTGCACTCCGCAGCAACGGTGCATCAATCACAGAAATAAACAAAAACAATCAAGTGTTTTAAAATAGTGCAAATTTCGAGGGAATAGCTCAAATAGCAAAATGTTGAGGCATTCAGATAAACATAAGCCCCGATTTAACAGACTTTAGGGGCACTGAAGAACATTTAAAAAAATCAAAATAACGCAAATATTTATTATATATATATATATATATATATATATAAAATATAAGTAGTTAAATTTAGTATATTCAAATCGTTCAAGTATTGGATTTTGAATTTTCATTGAATTTTATAGAAAAAATTGTACTAAAGCTTTAATCTATAGAAAATGAATTGTTTATAACTGATTTTTTACAAAGCTCTAAATATACTTTAAATATATATATTTTTTAAGTAGTTTGGATTCCTTTTAGTATCAAAACTTACATTAATGATGAGAGCATCGTATACTTTTTCGCTCGATTCTTTTTGTTGTTGTTGAACGTTGAACGCTTCTTTTTGTGCCTAACCTTAAAGACAAATACTCTCACACTCATACACACACACTCATACACTCACACACACACATATACAGTTGCTTACATATCGCTTGCTAAAAATGCAACAGCAAAAATTCTAAAACAATATTTCAAAATCTGTCTGGCTTTTAGCCGATCTGGCGAACTTGTTTTTTGCCCGTGCAGCTTGCCAGACCTCACCGCCCCACGGGGAGCCTCGGCGGTCCCCGGCGGTCCCCGGCCAGCAAAGCATTGCCCCCTGTTCGCTCGTTCTTCGCCTGGCAGCTAATTTTATTTGTTTACATGTCCGACTGCATGTTGTATTTTTTGCCCGCCTTTCTTTCTCGCCGTCCTCTGGCTTTTTAGCAATTTCTTTTGATATTTTCTTTTTTTGTTTAATATTTAATTTTAGACACTCAACTATAATTCAAAGTCAACGGTGCAATTTTTTAATGTCCATTTTGTTTCAGACTGCCAAAAGTGCATTTCAAAATAGTTTTACCGCACAAATGCGAGCGGAACGATATTTTTTGGTTTTGTTTCTTTTTAACAATTTTATATTTATTTAGTTTTATTATTATTATTTTTATTTTCTTTTGGCAACTATTGCAGAAATGACTGTCAGCTGCTTTGGCATATTTTTAATGTTTGCTGACAATAGAACGAATAGAACCGAATAGACGTTCAATTTTTTGACGATTACGTTTGGCATTGAAAAGTCTTTTCCTATACTATTCCATCTAGTTTTTATAGCCTTTCCTTAAAACGTGCGCGATCAACATATTTACACATGCATATAAACAGCATAATAAAAATTGAATTTTTCAACAACAACTAAATATATAAATAATTTTTTATAATGCACATTCATCGAAAAACGCTGCTGTTCCCCGCTGCCGTCTTCTCCTTTCCGTATCCCCATCTGCTGCCGTTGCACATTTGCAACAAAAACATTTTTTGTGGCGCATTTTCTGCGTCTGAATTTTCCATTTTTGCCATTTTCATGATATTTTTCCAAAGGGGGCGGTGGCTGTGGCTGTGGTTGAGGTTTGTGTGCGGAGAGAGCGTGTGGCAGGGGTGGGGCTGGGGGTTGGCCAAACGACTAGCACATGTTTACTTTACTTTGCAGTTTCGGTTGCGTTGCATTTCACACTCGCTTCTCAGCTCCCTCCCTTGCAAGCCTCCTCCTCGTTCCTTTTGGCCCGCTTTGCGCAGCAGGCACCTCCTGACGTCCCTGCATGGCATGTAGCCGGCGTAATATTAATTTTACACTTGGCCTTTAGTTTTTGCCTTTGTTATTGTTGTTGTTTGATGTGCAAAAAAGTAGACAACCCCGCAAGTTGTTCACTCTTTCTCTCCCTCCCTCTATCTATCTGCCTCTCTCGCTCTTTGTTGTTGCACTGACAAGCCAATTAATTTGGGTTCTTAAAAATATCACTAGCTAAATTAAATAAATATGCTAAGCACATTATACAATATACAAATTGTTGCAATTGCTTTTGTTGTTTTGGTGAGAAAACTTTTGCAGCGCCAACAAATTTCCTGTACCATCAATTATGCATAAGTATTGTAGATATTTTAGCTAGCAGCTCGATCCTCATTCCCATTCCCCAATCCCAATTACCATGTCATCACGCTCCGTCCCCACCTGCTGCGTGCCCATCCCCAAGAGCGGACTGTTGCTGACGTTTTGCGTTTTTAATAATATTTACTTAAAAGCACAAACAATTGGCCAAAAATGCGGCAACTGCAGTGAAACTGCAATAGGAAAAACGAAAACAACAAAAAAATATAACGAACAAAATATAGAAAATTAATGGATACATTTCAAAACTACGCAAATCAAAGGAGAGAAAAAGAGAGCTCTTAACAAAGCATTTGAAAATAAATTATTTGCTATGAAATATTTGATTTTTATATACAAATATAATTGTTCCAACAATTTCACTACGTTTTTAAATATCAATCAGTAAAATTCTTTAAGCATATATATACAAATATAAATATTATTTTAAAAAATTTTGAAATATATATATAAATATATATATATTTTTTTTAATTTTGCTGTTTTTATACTAGACATTAAACAATTTTTGATCAATAATATTACATAACCGAATGGCTTGGGCTTCAATGAGATCAATCCATATATTTACTTACTTTACATATTTATCTATTTCTGTGGGGCAGGTTTAGGACATGTAATCTTTTAAGTAGTAGTAAGTAATCTTAGTGCTAGAGCTAATGCTCTGTTATCTATTATCATAGTTATGTACTTTATTCATGTATCTTTTTGCATATAATTGTATTTATTCTTTAACAAGGGACAGTTTAACATCTTTGTGGATATTATAATTAATCACATACCAGGGTGCACATGCACGTCTTGTTCTGGTATCACTATAAAATTTTGATATTAGAATTACTAGCAATACCCCATAATGCAATGCTTAGGTCCATACCGGCTTCAGTACAGCCTTATATAGCCTTAATTTGTTCTCAAGACTATGTATATACATATATGGTATATATATTATGAATTCTGAAGGATTTGCTAAATTAATTGACACTAATAAAATGGTTATAGATAAATTTAAGTATTTTTAAAGTTAACACTTTTTACTTTAACAAATTGCTTAAAAATTAATTTTATGTATAATAATTTTTCATTCGTTTTCCAGTACCAAAATCTCTGAAATCTCTTTGGTTTTAAAGTAAATTTTTTATTTATTATTTTGTTTGTTTTTCTTTTTATTGCAAAAAGATAATTGCATTGAGTAGAATTCGTAGAATCCATATAAAACCATTTTATACAATTGTTGTTTTGATTTTTATTTAATTTTTTTTCTTGCATCGCTTTTCGGGAAATCTATTTGCGTTCTATGATCGCTTTGTCGAACTTTTTATATAAATTTAGCAAAATTTAGCGCGCAAAATAAACTTATAAAAATAACAATAATTTAATTGCTATTCAAAACAAAATTATGTGCTTTCTATGATAACAAATTGCAGAATAAAATGCACTGCTTAATGGTGATAATCAGCAAAGCTGACAAATTCGCCAGCTGTGGGTAGTTCATATTTATATACATATATTATTTTTATATATATCTCTCTCCCTCTATATATATATATATATATATATATATATATATGTATATATATACAGTTACTCAACCATATACCGCGTAGTGCCGACAATTAAGTTAAATCCTTTTGCTTTTTATTATTAAGCGTGAAATTTGTCGTCGCAGGCTGCGCCTTCTAATCCAATCCTATGTCCGCGCTCCTGGCTGCTCGCTGATTAACTTTAATCCACTGCGAACCGTGTGCGAGGGGAAAACTCGTTGCGTTTTGTGTTCTAATCTGCATAGCTTAAGCTTCGTGGCCCGGATCATCCAAATCCAATGCGCGTAATTTTATTTATTTTTTCTTTTTCATTTTTCCGCTTTTGTTTTTGTTGTTGTTGCGCTCGTTGTTGCTCTAATCCAGTTTGAATGGATCAAGAAGCTGAGCGAGTGCGCGACTCGCGACTTCGCGACCCGATACCTGACTTTCGCTCACCTTTTCCCATCTAATCCCTTAACGCGTGCGTCGACTACCTGGCCCGAATATAAGCCTCGACCATTTGCAATTCGGCAGTCAGTCACAAATTTGCTTGTCCAGCGACGAGACGCACATCATCCGCTCCAGATCGTCTGCAGCACAATCACTATCACAATTATTGGAATACATAACACGAATAGCCGTTAGCACGAGCAGCGCTAGGTGAGACCAATTGCCCAAGGATACCCCATGGCAGCCAGCCAGCCAACCAACCAGCCATTTTCTTCTAAGCAAAACTCACTCAAACTGCCACCCCGCTTTCTCTCTCTCTCTGGGCAACATCAGGGTGGCACGCTGAGCTTAGGGGTGGCAAAAATAAAAACACTTAGGAAAAAAAGCAAGCAAAAAATAAAAACGAGACAAAAAGAATAAAAAACTCGACGCAGGCGCATTGATCAGACATTCAAATTACCATCTTAACCGTCTCCTCCTATTCTCTTGTTTTACAGCCGTAACCAGCAACATGCCTAACTGGGAGACGAGCACCGCTGCGCCCAACTATGAGCAGCACAATGCCTGGTACAGCAGCATGTTTGCTGCCAACATCAAGCAGGAGCCGATGTCGCATCATCACAATCATCATCACCAGCAGCACGACAATACAAGCAACAGTAACAGCAACAGCGGTGCCAGCAGCCCGAGGCAGTCGCCGCTGCCGTCACCCAATGCGCCCAGCACACAGCTGGAGCAATACCTCAAGCAGCAGCAGCAACAGCAGCCAATGGATACGATGTGTGCAGCTGCTATGACGCCGTCGCCAAGCAACAATGATCAGAATAGCATTCAGCATTTTGACACCACACTCCAGCAACAATTGTTGCAGCAGCAACAATACCAGCAACACTTTCAGGCGGCACAGCATCAGCAGCAGCAGCATCATCATCTCACACTGGGTGGGTTCAATCCCCTGACGCCGCCAGGTCTGCCCAATCCCATGCAGCATTATTATGCCAGCAACATGCGCCCCAGCCCACAGCCAACGCCAACAGCAGTTCCCACTGCTGTGACAGCAGCAATACAGACAGGCGACAAGCTGCAGGCGCTGACGCCGCCAATGGACGTGACGCCACCAAAGTCACCGGCCAAGTCGCAGCAATCAAGCGTTGAGCCAGAGAAAGATCACGATCTGATGTCGAACTCCAGCGAGGACATGAAGTACTTGGCCGAGTCCGAGGACGACGACAGCAACATACGCATGCCCATCTACAACTCGCACGGCAAGATGAAGAACTACAAGTGCAAGACGTGCGGCATCGTGGCCATCACCAAGGTGGACTTCTGGGCACATACGCGCACCCACATGAAGCCCGATAAGATACTGCAATGCTCCAAGTGCCCCTTTGTAACGGAGTTCAAGCATCATCTGGAGTACCACATACGCAAGCACAAGAACCAAAAGCCCTTCCAGTGCGACAAGTGCAGCTACACCTGCGTCAATAAGTCGATGCTGAACTCCCACCGGAAGTCGCACAGCTCTGTGTATCAATATCGCTGTGCCGACTGCGACTATGCCACCAAATACTGTCACAGCTTCAAGCTGCATCTTCGCAAGTATGGCCACAAGCCTGGCATGGTGCTGGACGAGGATGGCACACCAAATCCCTCCCTGGTCATCGATGTCTATGGCACACGGCGTGGACCCAAGAGCAAATCGTTCTCGGGCAGCAGCTCAAACTGTGGCGCTTCCAGCAAGCGTAGCAATGCATCAGCTGCCTCCCAACATCAGCACCAACAGCAACAGACGCAACACCAGCCACAGCAACAACAACAGCCTGTGCTGCCACCAAGCGCAACATCTCAGCTGTCCGCCGCGCTGCAAGGATTTCCCATACCAGCAGCAGCAACCGCAACGGCAGCACCAGCAGCTGTGGCGCCCGTTTCCCCACCGTCGCCGGCCAAGAGCGTTGCCAGCGTTGAGCAGGCGCCTAGTCTGTCTAGCGCTTTGCTGCCGCCATTGGCCAGCCTGCTACAGCAGAACCGCAACATGGCCTTCTTCCCCTACTGGAATCTCAATCTGCAAATGCTCGCTGCCCAGCAACAAGCAGCAGTTCTGGCGCAGTTGTCGCCGCGCATGCGTGACCAGTTGCAGCAACAACAACAGCAACAACACCACAATCAGCAGCAACAGCAACAGCAATTGCCAGCTCACAGCGACAACGAAGAGGAGGAACATGACGATGACTTCGAACGCAAATCCGTGGACTCAGCCATGGATCTGTCGCAAGGCACTCCGGTCAAGGAGGAACCCCAACAACAACATCAAACCCAGAGTAACCACATGGCCATTAACCTCAAGCTGAAAGACGATGACACGCCGTTGATCAGCAGCAGCACCGCCTCCCGACGCAAGGGACGTGTTCTGAAGCTAGACACGTTGCTGCAGTTGAAATCGGCTGCAATGTCATCGCCGGAACAACAATTGAAACTGCCGCCAAGTGTATTGCCCACGGCCTCATCGCCAATTGCCGGCAGCAGCGCCAACAAGCAGCTGGCCGATGATCCCTGCTCTGGCGCCAGCTCTGCAGATGAGTCCATGGAAACGAGCCGTGTGCCTCAGGCCAACACGAGCGCCAGCTCAACGGCTTCCAGCTCCGGCAACAGCTCAAATGCAAGCACCAACAGCAATCCCGTTCCAGCTGCCACCGTTGCTACCTCTGCCACCGTATCGAGCTCATCCACATCCACATCCGCGAGCAGCAGCGCTCCGGCCATATACGAGTGCAAGTATTGTGATATTTACTTCAAGGACGCTGTGCTGTACACAATCCATATGGGGTATCACAGCTGCGACGACGTCTTCAAGTGCAACATGTGCGGCGAGAAGTGCGACGGACCCGTCGGCCTCTTTGTTCACATGGCCCGCAATGCGCACTCCTAAGAGGCGGCGGCCCACAATATTGTTATTACATAGATATTTTTATTATTATTAACATATTTCGTTGTCCAAAATTGTAAATACTCGTAATTTTAGTTTGATTTCGTTGTCGAAAATTGTACATAAGCCAAAAATGCGCAAAAAGCGCTACCAACTAACTCTAGACCTAAGCCCACAGCCCATAGATTCATGTCTAGCTCTAACTGTAGATCTAATGCAACTATGTAGTAACTATCCCAACTATCTGCTAGCTCCTCTACTTTCTGTATCTTTTCCGTTTCCAGCGATGAAACCAAACACAAATAACGTCGCAAACCGAACAAAAACCATGAAAAAGGTTTAAAAAACTCTTAGTTTAAGTCGACATTAACTTAACTTAATTTGTAAGCAATCAGTCCAAAGTCACAGTTACACAGCAGCGATTAGTCTATTATTATTATATTATTTTCTTTACAAAATAAATGTTTAGCCTGTAAAAACAAGTGAGTGCTCTCTTTTCATTTTCACGAACAATTTACATTTTTATGTTTATCTTGTTTTCCTATTCTTTAAAGTAAAGCTCATTCGGCATATGACAATATTTTGATATCGATCAGAAAGAAGTACAAATCTAGAGATTTTACAACTCAAAAATTTCAACAAAGTGTAAATGCCCACAATTTTTTAAATTTAATAAAAACAATGATATATTTAGTATATTGTATAAAGAAATATTTACAAAATATTTGCGCAATCTGAGCAAATGGATCAAAATTAAAGTTTACTTAGTTTTTAGTTGTAAATGTAAACCAAGGTCGGAATACTTGAGACTTTGTACAATCCCAGTGTGACGAAGCACTTGTATAGTTTAATACAAATAAATAGAGTTTCCCAAATGTTTTTATGTAATATGTAATAAAGAACATGATATGATATAAAGAAATGCATATAAAATTCTATAGTTCCTTTAGTGCTTCACTCTCCATGATCGATGCCAGATGTCAGCGCCTTATTCGAAAGATGATTTATGGAAATTTCGCCTACACAAGAACCACACAATGTGGTGTAACGGTTAATTGAAAAACTGCTCCATCATGTGCTAAATGGTAGGGCTATTAAGTGAAAAAACTGTGCGGGTGACCCAAGCAAATTGGCCTAGCGAGGGAAGTGACTGCGAGGATCGTCTAGGTTTTAGAACTTCCCTTGATCGATCATTGTCTGGCATTTTGCGTGAAAACGCACAATTCGCATGGCATATGAGCTGGGGGGAAATTATATAATAATGTAAAACTCATGAGCTCACGCTCGTGGGCAACGCCTTACAAGGGATCGAGCATCGATCGAGAGGATCGCTTGGGGAGTTTACTCAGAGCTGCGCATGCGTCGCACACGCTTCTCCTACAAATGGCGCGTGCTCGTGAGTCGAAATTGGTTTTCTTTTTGATAATCCCTTGGCGCATTTTTGGGCGTTTTATAAATAGTTTTTCCAGCTGGCTTCTGATTGGTTGAAAATGATTTGAGTGTTGGTTAGACACGACAAACTTGGAATATTTGTTCATAAAGCACTTTTCATTATTTTTAATTTTCCGTTTTTCCTTATTAAAACTGTGCACCCACAAAGCAATAATTGATATTTATGAGTCAATGGAAATTTTCTAAGGGGCACAGAGTTCAGAAAATATCGCTTGTAATTTTATGTAAATATTTGATGGTGGTCCAACTGCTAGCTAGTCAAAAGCCTATAGATCTAATCGTAAATAAGATTTTGCATATCCTTTTAGTCGAACATTTCCAGATTCTTGTCCATTTGAGCGCGCTTAATTTGCTAATAACCCACTGGACATTCAGCTTTGGCTTGTGGCAAACGCAAGCGAAGTTCTAAGATGTTTATCTGCCTCACAGACTCTTAACCTCAATCTGCTGCCTAACGATCTTCGTTCGATCCCTGGTCTTGTTTGTTAGTTCTTATCTCGGCTTGTGGTATTGTTTCATCCCTCTGACCATTGTTCGGTTCGCAGACAAAAAACTCTGAGCACAAAGAAGAATCTCTTTTAAGTGCAACTAGCCGGGGTCATCGAGGAGACCCCATAGTTTCGCATAGTAGTTGACTGACTGACCATTTAAAAGGTGTAATTTCTGGTTTGAGATGTTGCGCATGCGCCATTTTTCCGGTTTCCATTGTGTCTCTTGTTATTCCCTCTTCTCTTCGAGCAGCTGTTGCTCATTTTGCACCTTTTGCTACAAAATATATTTTTTAGCTAACGAAAGGTTTTGTAAATCGAATATGCCGCTTAGTAAAAAAGGGTCTATAGCAATTTTTGAATAATGAAAACATTCGAGAATTGAAAAATTATAAATCAGACAAAGAAAAAGAAGTTGAAAAAAGATTCAGCTTTGATGTGGTCCACTTGATTTATTAAAATAAACAAGTTGGGCAAATCTGTTGCGGAATTAGTTGAAGAGTTTTGTTTATAAATAAAACGGAGGCAGATCTGAAGGAAAGGCTACATGCGGTCTGAAGAGAAAGATCTACAGTCGGGTAGACCACTTAATTATGAGAAAGATTAACCAAAATCCGCCAATATCTGTACGCTTGCTAAGAACCATAAGGACAAATATGACTTAGATATGTAACTTGAAACAGTACGCCAGTCCATCCTTCAACATAGGTACTCTTCAGGAGTTGCACTAAAGAGACGGCTACTTTCATTGGTAAACATAGAAAATATATATAACTATATAAAAGAAAAATGTGACTTTGAGTATTATTGGTCAGCCGGAAATCCTCCTATTTTGCAATGGAACAAAACCAATGCTGTACTGTAATAATGATCCATCCAAAGTATGGCGCAAGGCATGATCTGCATTGGAAAGGAGAAACATCATTCCGACAGTAAAACTGTGAAAGGTTAATCGAAGAGTAGGAGCAATTACATGCATAGAGAACAATATGAATGCGGTTCAGTACCTCCAAATTTTAATGATGAATTTAAAAAAGTGCGGCAAAATTTGGGCTTATTAACAACAATAAGCCAAATTTTAAATAAAATAAAATAAAAAAAGCATGTATATTTCTATAACACGAACTTTACTTCAAGTCATCAATAACCTACTTCATTTCCATGAAACTAATATAAATCTATGATAAGTTATCGAAAAAAAGTTATAGGCTCATACCGCTTATGGTACACAGGAAAATAAATTTTACATTTTAAGTCTTTACTTTATGTAGTTCCCATGATCGCGGCGTTCAGGCGAACAGGCGGGCGAAAGACGAGCATGGTAAAATCGACTCAGCTCAGATCGAGCTTATATATGCTATAAGAGGTTTGCCACGCCTTCTTTGCACCAAACTTAACATCAAACCCCATTGAAAACTGATAAAAATAGCTGTTTTTTTGTGAACTTGGCCAAACATCAAACCTGATATTAAGCGCCTCCATTTTGTTGTTACCCTTCATGCATATATACATATATAAATGCAATATATCGTGTGGCTTATCCTACAATCTACATAAGAACCGCAGCCAGCACACAATGGTAAACATGAAAGTATTATTAATGCCACGAAAAAATCTCCCACAGGGCTGAACATAAAATAGGTATTTACAGCCAGAACCACCCCCGGAACTAGCAACAACATCAACAACAACGGCAGCGACGACAACTACAATAAAGTCTACAAAAAAATCCACAGAGCGCACGCCATATTGAATATATTGAGTCTGGATTGGGGTTGGGGTTGGGTTGGGCTGGATTTGGGTTAGGGTGTGGGTAGCCATTTTTAGACGCGTCAGACGCGCAGCAGCTAAAAATAAGCCAACTAACAATTCCGAAATAATTCGACAGAGTTCGAAGTTGAAGCGAAAAGTGTTACAAGGTTTTTCACTATGGCAAAACTAGCCTGCGCTGCATGGGCAACAGGGTAGGGGCGAACAAGTAATGCCACATAGCGGGGTAGTGCATGTAGGGATGGGGTAGCGTCCGAAGTTCATGTTGTGTGGGTGTTTAGTTGATTAACACACGCAAGGGTGCCGTTAAATGCCAACGATACACTCACCATTTATAACTACTCTTGACCATGGACCCTGAGACGCTGGATGGTTGGCAATACACCCTGCCAGATCTGAGACCTCGAGCCCTTATCAAACAGCCGTTGCCGCCTGATCCGATGAGCTGTTGACTGCCATTTCGCAGAGACGACGGCGCCCACATTGGGCACGAGACGAGACGAGACGAACTGAATTGTTAAGGTCTACACATTATTATTACAAAATTGCCTTGGACCAGCATCTGTAGCCAATTATGGTTTGGCTCTGATCCATTGAGCATGACGTCATATGCTGCCGGCTATCGGCACCTAACAATATCCCAATAGCATGCAAACCAATCCTAGCTCACACACGCCGAAGGATTTGCTGAATAGCCGATAATTTATTTCTGTAAACAGTTTTCACTGGAATTGCGCACGGTCCGAAAACCAACTTTCGTTTCTTCAAGCAGTCCAACAGCTGACCAAAGTCCGTTCACCAGTTCCCGTGTGGTAGGTGGAACAAATTTTTAAATAGGCTCCGTTAACAAGCAGGCCTAAAGATGCCTTGCCTACGCGTTAGCCAGGTGAGTGTTTTGGCATGAGCTAAGTTATGTGTATCGCTTATAGATACTCCAAAAATAAATACTTAATAATACTAAATAAGCATCCTATCATGGGCTTCGTGCATAAATCATTTTTAGAGGAGTTGTTAAAATACTTAGTGGCCATTCAACTCAAAATATTTTATACAAGAAACTTTCTGTGCTCGTCTGCTTGTTTAAAGTTTTATATTTATTAGAATAAAGAAACAAAATTTCTGACTGTTTTAATGGTAATAAACAACAGAAAGACGAGTCGAAACAATGAGTATAGTAGATAATTAAACAAACAAACTATATCGAGTGAGTGCTGTCCAGAATCACACACAAAATCATAAATATCTGCACAAATATAAATTCATTTTGTATACTTGCTCACAAAATCAGAAAGAGTATATTGGTTTTATGCAATATTCGTTCATCACGACGCTTGATATTCATATCCTCCTTTTATAGTGTTAAAATCTTTTTAATACGTTCCACAGTCTTTTGCAGATATACTACTGTGAACCTCTTCTATATAACGTTCCTATGAGTGAGAGAAATTGGAAACATAACTTCTATAGCTATGCCGCCCCAAATTAAACCAGAAACAATTGCAGATCTGAGACATTGGTTGCTATTGGTAGTGACTGGAGAAATCGAAGTTATACGGTATAAAGAATATAATTATTTGAAAAAATTAAACAAAGCGAAAAATCGAACAGTTTAACTATAGTGCTATATTGTCGACTTTTAAAGGAATTATGATTTGTACAAAACGTAATTGCCGAAAAAAGAAAAATAATGAAATATCTGTTAGTGCATTTAACTGAAATGAAAATGAAAATTGTTGGATTTACTCATTGTGCGACTAATGCAAAGCTTTGATGCCAT